GTAGAAGAAGCAATTGTCTCTCGGGTTAATTATAGATTCTTCACTTTCCCTTAATTGCTTGAGTCAGCACTGTTGACTCTAGGGCAGTCGCCATACACAGGTAGAGCTATTGCTGTGAAACAAGGTGTGACTATTAGGTAATGAGGTTTTTGTTTTATATTGTGTTTTTAGATAAACAAACCCACATGTACATATCCAAGTAAGTGTTCCTGTTAAAGGTGTCCCGGTAGCAAGCTTTGCTTATGTTAACTCTCTTTTTTGACCAAATACTGGGAAATGTAGTGTGGCAAGTATGGGTGCTCTTACGGGGGTAAAGGGACAGTATATGTAATATTAAAGCTCTCTTAGAAAAACTAAGATAAAAAAAAAAAGAAAACCTAAGATATGTGATCCTTATAGCTATAGGGGGCTCAGATAGCATTTGGGAAAATGGTAGTAACATCATTGGAAATACACATTAAATGACTCCCAGAGAAAGGAGAGAAAATGAGTGGGAAATATCAGAGAGGGTGACAAAACATGAGAGACTCCTAACTCCGGGAAACGAACAAGGGGTGGTAGAAGGGGAGGTGAGCAGGGGGATGGGGTGACTGGGTGACGGGCACTGAGGGGGGCACTTGATGGGATGAGCACTGGGTGTTACACTATATGTTGGCAAATCAAACTCCAATAAAATAAAATAAAATAAAAATAGATATCGCCTACCAAAAATAAATAAATAAATAAATAAATGACCCCCCCCCCCCCAGAGAGAGGGTTTTTTATCTGCAACATACAACATACATATTTTCCTGGAGGAAAAAAATCCATGTCTCTTATCTACCTTCCCTGACCTTGTAAACTTTAGTTAAATGCCCTGCACACCAAAGTGTTCCATAAATATTTGAGGGACATCGGTCCTATTCTATCACAATAATATTTATTCTTCCAAAAATAAACCATGGAGTCCATGTATTCAATGGAAATAAATCTTTTGCACCTAGTTTTGTTATCTTTCCTTCCCGGTATTGTGTCTCCTACTTATTCATATGACTAAGAGCCAATAAACAGTCATTCAGCAAACATTTACTGAGAAATGACTGATACCAAGCTCTGGAGAAATCTGGAAATTCTGCGGACATTCTTAGTGTTCACACAGAAGCTTGGGGCCAAGGATCTTGTGCAGGCTTCTACACCAGCATGATTTGGTCAGCTTTTTTACTTCCAAAGAACACAGATTCTCTCATGTACCCCAGGAAAGAAGGAGAGTTATTATAAGGACCCTTGAACTGAAATGTGATCAGATTCTCCCAGTCGCTTTCTCTCAATGGTCTGTTTATCTTGATATGTCTGTTCCATTCTTTCTCCATAACCAAATTTCTCTGCTTCCTCATAATTTAGAGGATGCATCAAGAGAAGCTAGCTATGCTCCAGGAGACTCCAATCTCAGTGGCCTAAAGTCGCAAAGGTTTATATCTCACTCAAGCTACTTGTTCACCAAGGGTTAGTTGGGAGAGAGGAGGAATTCCTCTTATCATAGCAACTTGGGAACCCAGAATGACAGAGCAGTGACAGTCTTTAAAAAAAGAAATGAGGATGCATGTGCTCTTAAAGTGCCCACCTTATGTCAATTCTGCTCACATTTCCTTGGCCAAAACAAATCAATGACCACAACTAACTTAGCTGGGTGGGGATGTGCAAGCCTACCAAGACCTTGATTGGAGAGAAAGCCCAAATATGCCTCAATAGCCTTAATCACCCTCATTCAAGGCATCTCCAGCCCAAGACTGCAAACCACTTTTGTTTCAGCAGCCACAGCTAATGATTCATATTTTCCATGTTCCTTCATTCCAAGTACAGTAAGAGAGAAGCTGAGTGGCCTGCAACCTAGGTCCCTGGTTAGCCTATGGATCTTTGTGTCATGGCCAATCTGCTGGGAACAGGCATATACACGGTAGTACATGACTGTCTAGCCCAATCCTCTTAATCCTCTCCAGCCACCAGAAGACCTGTCCAGTACAGTCATGATGTTTGAAAAAAAAAAGTCATGATGTTTGCTTGTCCTAGCTCTTGATGACAGAGAGGCCATGAATGGTACAGTTCATTAAGCTGGGTGGGGTCTGGCTGTCAGGCTGTTTATGGGGCAAACTCAACAGTGGTGAAACGGAAATGACTGAGCCCAGGGACCTGCTATGTTAGCCCACCAGTCTAGAGATCAATGATGTGGTACTACAGGATTTTTAAAAGTTGGCTTTATGCAGCTCTATTGCCACATTTGGACACAGTCTTCCTCCTCTGAATACAGACTTAGGTGGGAAGGGCAGAGGGGGGAACAGAAGTGAGTGGCTTCAACCCACACAAGAAGACCTGAATGTGTGAACCCAAAATCAAGTTCCATATGCCCCCTCATCTATCTTTCCAGTCTCATGTCCCAGTTCACCCCCAAATAAACCTTCTGTCCAACTACTGTCAAACATTCCTTGTTCTTTTATTGGCTTATTCAATACCCTCCTCTCTAACTGCTACCCTTCCTCTAAAATCAGTTTAAAAACTACCACTTTGGGATTCCTGGGTGGCTTAGTGGTTGAGGGTCTGCTTTTGGCTCAGGGCTTGATCCCGGGATTCTGAAATGGAGTCCTACAACAGGCTCCCTGTGGGGATCCTGCTTCTCCCTCTGCCTATGTCTCTGCCTCTGTGTGTGTGTCTCTCATGAATAAATAAAATCTTTTTTTTTTTAAAGCCACCACTTTTCAGGAAAGTGTTTCTCTGACAGCTATGACCTGTGGTCCTTTCTAGATCTTCCTCCTCTGAATTCTTGTGCCCCTGCTCATGCTGAACACCTGGAGGGCATGAACGTGTCTTACTCATTTTGGAATCCCAGAGCTTAGTGTCTGCCTAGTACATAGCAGGTGCTCACCCACTATGTGTTTAATGAATTGTCTGTAGCACCAGACATTTGAGGAAACTGTAACGAGTTCCTCTGCTATATTAGGCTCAGTGGAGAAAAGTCAGTAATAGATGATCTCTCCAGGAGTTTCACTAGTTCAGTAGCCTGGTTTCATAGATGAGAAAATTGAGTCCCAGAGAGGAGAAATGATTTGCTGTCTGCCACCCAAACAGCCCCTATCGACCAAGCACTTCGCTATGTGCGAGACAAATGCTTTTCACTCTTTATCTCATTTTCATCCTTGTGACAACCCTTAAAAGGAAGGCTTTTTACACTTACTTTTACAGAAGAGGAAATGGAGGCTTAAAGAAGTTGTAACCTGGCCAGGGCATTTGAAAACGTACGGTCCAACTCCTGAGTCCCTACTCTTGCTCCCTGCACTGAGCCCCACGCTATGGAGTCAGTTCCCTGTGGCTCATGAAGGTGCGTATTGCCCGGAGGGCTTGAACCTTTTCTGTGCTCCAGTGGCTGGGTTGACATAAGGTGATTAAAGGATCCTGGTGAATTTCTGTGCCACCAGGTCCTGTGCACACCAGTCTAACGTTCTGACCATTAGGTCAGGGTATTTCTTCCTGCCTGGGTAGTCGGGTTAGTGGAAGAAACCCGATAAAATCCTGGAGAGGAACTTGATCATTCTCTGAAGGACTTACAAGTTGTTTGGCCTGCCTAATCTGCTCAGACACCGTCTGGGGAATATTCGGTATCCATGTAGTACAGGTTGTGAATTACTCTGTGGGGACTGTTAACAAGACCCTCACCAACTCCGCCTTGGCCAGTGTCAGACAGGGCCCTAGGGCAGCCCCCTTTCTTCTCCTCCCACCAAAGTTCTAGAAAAGAATAGGCTTCCCTCTCCTCCCCTTGGGGGCAGGGAGGAGCGAGAGATGGAGGGGAAATCCATCTGCCTCCAAGCAGAGCTCACTCTACACAGCTGGACCTGATCCCTCCTCAGAGCTAAGGCTGTGGATACAATGACTTAGCTGGGATAACACTCAGCCAGCGTTCTGGCAACCTGGTATCTGAGTACCCAAACATGGAAAGAGGCCGACTCCCTAAAATCAGTGCAAGAATGATGACAGGGAGTTAGATTTGGAGGCACGGCAGGGATCATCCACCCCCTGGATTTAAAGATACTGAAGCTAAGTTACTTGTCAAGGTCGCACAGCTCCTGGCCGTAGAGAGCGAAGACCACGGTGCCTCAGTCTAAACTCAAAGTTCCCTTTCCTTCAGCTCCCACGCAGCCACCTACACACAGCCTACCCTTTGCCGTATCGCCACACACAGGCCCAGCACACCTAAGCCGACCGGGTCCTGTGTTCCTGAAGGCTTGGACTGTCCCTCCCCTGGGGAGAAGCTCACACAGAAGACAGAGCCCCAGACACCCCCCTCCCCCGGACCCGCACTAGCAGGAAAGTCTCAGGAGGAGCCCCCCAGGCCTTGCTCTCAACGCTCCCTTCCTTCTTCCAGAAAGGGAGCCCCCAGATGACACCTGGCCGGCTGGGAGCTGCGGGGGAAGGACCTGGAGGGTGCAGGGATGGCGCAGGCCTGGGGTCCGGCACGGCGGCTGCCGCCCCCCCACCCCGCACCCCCCGCACCCCCGCCCCGGGCCGGATGCTGAGAGCGCCGGGGTCTTGGGGCTCCCTCCGGGCCACGCGCACCCACTACCTGGCCCGCTCCCCGGGCCTCCTGGGGCTCGGGCGGGCCCGGCTGGGGTCCCGGAAGGTGGGGGGCGCGCGGGGCGCGCAGGGCGCACGGAGCAGGGCTCAGCGCCGGCCCGGCCCGGCCCCAGCGAGGCCTCGGCGCCCTCTCCCCGGCGCGCAGGTTTGGAAACAGGGCGGCCTCGGCGGGCCGCCGCCTCGGCGCTCGGGTCCCCATATATAGTCATATCCACCGTCAACTGGGAGGCCGGCAGGCGGCAGCGAATGGGCGCGCGGCCCCCGCGGGAAGGCGCGGGGAGGGGGCAGGGGGCGGAGGGAGGAGAGCGGGGAAGGGGCAGGAGAAAAAAGCTTTTCCAAAAAAGTATTGGCTGTCTCGAGGAATGCGGTCGCCCCCTTGGGAAAGTACATATCTGGGAGCAGCAGGCGGCTCCGCGCCCGCACTCCGCCTCGGCCGCCCCGCCGCGCGCTCGCCTCGCCGCTCCCGCCGCAGCCGCAGGGCCCCCAGCCGCCGCCACCATGGACGCCATCAAGAAGAAGATGCAGATGCTCAAGCTCGACAAGGAGAATGCCTTGGATCGAGCCGAGCAGGCGGAGGCCGATAAGAAGGCGGCGGAGGACAGGAGCAAGCAGGTCTGCGCCTCCCCCGCTCTGCGCCCGCGCGGGCGCCCCCGAGCCCTGGGCGCCCCGCGCTCCTCCTCGCGCTCCCCCTCGCGCTCCCCCCGGGGCTCCCCCCGGGGCTCCGGGCCGCCCCCCTCCAGCCCGGGCGGCGGGGCCGCGCAGCTCGCAAGGCGGAGGGGGCAGCGAGCGAGACTCCGGCTCATTCTAACTTTTTTGGTCTCCTCGGGGGACGTTTATTTCCCTCCTCCGCTCCCCAGAGCCCTCGAAAAGTCCACTCAGGTCCTAGAGGCACTTGATCCTCAGGATCGGGGATCACTGGGGGGGGGGGGTGTCAGTCCCGAAAGTGCTAGTAGTTCTTCTGGACTTTAGGCTGGAGAGAAGAAAATATTCACCTGGGTTAGAGACTGGGCGGGGAGAGGGGAGGGTCAGGGAGTTTTGTTTTTGGTTTGGGTTTTGGGTTCTGGGTTTTTTGGGGTTTTCTTTTCCTAAGAACAAAGATGGAACAGAATAGAAAGTACGGCCCGAAGGCCAGGGAGACAGAGGCGTGTTTCTGCACCCCCAGGTGTGGAGCCTTGTCCCCGCGGGGGGTGGGGATGCAGGGTGGGCCGCCCCTGCAGCGCGGTTCCAGCTTCGGGGGAGAAGAGGCTACCGAGAGTCCCCCGAACCCCGAGTCGGCGGCGCCCCGAGCCCCGGGGCCCCAGCCAACCAGGCGCTCGTGTTGTGTGTGTGTGTGTGTGTGTGTGTGTGTGTGTGTGTCTAACACCCGGTCCGTGCCGGCCGCCCGCGCCCGCCCGCCGCTGCCCCCCAGCTGGAGGAGGACATCGCGGCCAAGGAGAAGCTGCTGCGGGCGTCGGAGGACGAGCGGGACCGGGTGCTGGAGGAGCTGCACTCGGCGGAGGACAGCCTCCTGGCCGCGGATGAGGCCGCCGCCAAGGTACCCGGGGCGCGCGGCGCGGCGCGGCGCACGAATGGCTAACTCTGTCTCTCTCTCTCTCTCTCTCTCCCTCCCTGTCCTTCCCTCTCTCTCTCCCGCTGTCCCTGTCCTTCTGGTTCTGTGCACCCACACCCCTCCCCTGCGGGATCACGCTGCCTGCTGCACCCCCACCCCACCCCTCCCCGTCCCCCACGGCCAACTCCCAGCTGGAAGATGAGCTGGTGTCGCTGCAAAAGAAACTCAAGGGCACCGAAGATGAACTGGACAAATACTCCGAGGCTCTCAAAGATGCCCAGGAGAAGTTGGAGCTGGCGGAGAAAAAGGCCACTGACGTAAGTGCACGCTCACACTACCTCCCTCACCTCCTGCCCGGTGGCCACTCTGCGGTCACCACAATGGCCAAGGAGCAATGGAGGAGGGTCGCCTCCTCCTGCTGGACACCCGCACACAGCCGTGACATGGCCCAGAGCACTGGATGCTGCCTCAGACTTCTGTTGCACACACTCATTTATATTTCATCCACTCCTCTTTCTTTTTCTCTATCTTTCCCCCACTCCTGGGGGTGGAGGTGGGTGGGTGAGAAGCTGGGAGTGGAGTGGCTGAAATTGGATGCTGGAGGTGAACCTTGCCTCCCTGGTGGCAGAAGACCTCTGAGGTGTCGTCATCAAGGTTTGTGCAAACAGAATACCTCGGTTTCTTTCCTTTCCTTTGCCGCCTCTGATGGGTGGGAATGCCTGGTTTTCCATGGTGAGTCTGGTCAGAGTACCGAGGGCCCAGTCTCTGAATGGAAGGAAGGACATGGTGCTACTACTTTTACTTAGAAGGCTGAGCTTGATGCTGAGGTGCAGAGACACTTGAGGCCTCCTTTCTTACTAGGGGAACCTTAATCCAGCCCTTAAGATCTGCCTGGGAAGATGATACTTGCTTGGGTCTGCAGTCTGACAGCACTAGATCCTGAAAGTACCCTGGGAGTTATATATAGCTCAGTGCTTTATATGGTATAGTGAGCTAACTGCCCCCTGCCCCTCCTGCTTGCCCCACCCCCACCTGTCAGCCTTCTGACAACCACCACATAGTTTCGGGGGTGATGCACACACTGCAAAAACTCTACCAGCACTTTGTCCCCTGCACTTTGGAATCTTTTTAGCCGAAGAGCTTGCCTTGTCTGCTCCCTAAGTCAAGCCAAGCATTAGATTTCCAAAGGAACGACTTCTTTTCACACTGTTGGATTCCATTGTAGAAGCTCATTAAGGCTAGAGGCCCAATTAGGAAAGAATTCCTTGGGAAGTTAGTAACAATTCCAAGAATGTATGAGCACCGGGGAAAGCTGTGCCCAGAAGTTGAACTACCAAGCACAATGGCAGAATTTCTTGTAGGAGAGTAAAATGCAAATTGCTGGAGGGTCTTGGGTTCTTGAAACCAGTAAAGGCTTTTTGTGGCACGAAAGGCTTAAAATGTAATCTCCAGGCATGCTTTATAAATGAGAAATCCAGACATCGGACATTTAGAATCAACAAAAATACTCCAATGGCCGTCAAGATTACTGGAAAAGGGGTTCACAGAAGCACTGACTTAGCTAAAACATTAAAGCTACAAACTACCTGGCTTTAGAAAAAGAGCCAAAAAACACATACAACTGCGCCTGCTTTGTATAATGTAGATCAGATGTCTGCTCCGTATAAGGTTAAATGGAGGATGTCTGTCTCCCCCAAATTGTCCAGCAGGACTTTTATTTGGCTTTTTCAAAAGAGCCGCTGATAGATCAAGGAGAGATAGTCCTTATAAGGAAAAGAATGCAGAGAATTTGAAAATAGCCCTGTAAGACTGAAGGCAAGAGAAGGAGAAAAAAGCTACTACAATTCTTAGAGGGGAAAAAAGATCATAATTATTGTAATGATGCAGCGCTATCATGTCTTTATTGAAAAGTCTTGTTTAAGGGAATGCTGGTATGAGGTGGGGCAGAAATGGAAATGAGGATATTTAAAGCCACCTTGGGCAGGGGCGTGGTTAACAGGGGAGGGGAATTTTTGAAACTGTTTTGGTTCTTTTTTTTTCTACCGGAAAACTATGCTTAATATGGCACTTTTTTTTTGGGGGGGGGGGTAGTATATATTGATCATCTTCCCTTTTAAGACCTTTTAGGTTTAGAAACTGTAGGGATGTTGAAGAAGAACATTTGCGAAGAAATGCTATGTTTAAAGTGATTCCCAACTAGTAAAAGTAGTCAAGACTTAAGGAGGAAGAGACTGATATCACTAGAGAAAGAGGGAGGTAGGAGGTCAGCTTCCTGAAGTAGAATCGTATTACATTTGGAATTAGGACACTTCGCTGTCATTACTCAGCAGTGTAAAAGCATTTCCATATTTTCCTACTACTAAAAACATTTTTCTACTTATTTACCAACATACTTTGTAAATCTTATTCCAGACGTAGGGGTCTTCCTGGCTTAAAAGATTGTAATTTACAACGTAGCACCCTGATGGTTTTGGTCTGAAATTTTTTTGGTGTTCTACCTAAATGAGGCTGAACGTTTTCTATCTGGCCTCCCGCCGCTGCCCCAATAATTGTGATGTTTCAGTTATCTGCAGAATGTGAGTCTTTAAGTCCTTGTAGGTCTTTGCTTCCTACATCAACGATTCTCAACCTTATGTAAACAGAATCTCCTAGGGAAGTTTTAAAACCCTAGAATCCAGGCTGCACCCCAGCTCAATTAAAGCAGAATCTCTGGGAGTGGAACCCACGCATTAGTATTTTTTAAATGTGCAGCCAAGGTTGAGAACTGTCCTAAACTCTTGTATAGTGACATCAGCATGAAAATGAACTCACCTGAAACTGTCTTTCCCAGGTGTTTGAAAAGCAGGACATTAAGTCATTAGTTGGCTGCGGAGAGCACTTGCAAATGTCCAGCAGTTTCCCTGGCTCCTCCGGGACGTCCCCAGACGCCCCCATCCTCCACTTTCAAAGTTGGAGGCTCACTGTGTACTCTAGGGGAAAAGTTGTAACCTCCCGCCGGACTAGATGAACTGTGTTGGAAACAAAGCGAGAGGCTCCACCTACAGGACGTGGGGGCACCTGCAGAGGTTTCTGAGACTCAGTAGAGACCGTGACAAAGTCCAAAGAAAATGAGTCTGGAGAGCACAGGAGGTTCGTTGTTAGGGCTTTGGAGGAGGAGGAGGAGGAGGAGGAGGAGGAGAGGGTCGTCAAGTATGTTTTTTCTTCATTATTCCCACACTTAAACACATCAGAAATTGACCTGAAGGGCTTCCTGCGAGAAAGGTGAAGAAGAAAACCATGACACATAGAAAGCATTTATTCTTTTTAAAGATTTTATTCAGGGATCCCTGGGTGGCGCAGCGGTTTAGCACCTGCCTTTGGCCCAGGGCACGATCCTGGAGACCCGGGATCGAATCCCACGTCGGGCTCCCGGTGCATGGAGCCTGTTTCTCCCTCTGCCTGTGTCTCTGCCTCTCTCTCTCACTGTGTGCCTATCATAAATAAATAAAAAATTAAAAAAAATAAAGATTTTATTCATAGCAGAGACACAGGCAGAGGGAGCCCAATGGGGCCTCCATCCGAGGACCCCGGGATCACGACCTAAGCCTAAGGCAGACGCTCAACCACTGAGCCACCCGGGTGCCCCTAGGAAGTTCTTAAATACATGGCCCAGTGGAAGAATTGGCTGAGGATGGTTCCCAGAAACTGGGTGTTCATCCAGCTGGAGCCAGAGGCTCTATTAGGGTTCTGTAGCCTTCACGCTTGTGCCTTTTAAAGACCTCCCAGTCCAGCCCAGAACTGGTCAGATTCCAGATCTTTGAGGCTGACCTAAAACCAGAGAAGTTTGTAAGTATAAGTGATCCTCGAGATGATTGTTTTTATGGAAAACGAGCCCCAAAGAGGCTCGGGGCCCTGAGAACACAGCCGGGTATGCGCCCCGCCTGAGTCTCAAGCCAGTGCCTGCATTTTTTTATTCACTTAAAGCCACCATTTAACTATGTACAATGTATTGTGTTAAGCGCTTTGCATTTCATAACCCTCACCACTGCCCTATGAGGAAAGTACTCCTGTTAACCCATGCTTACAGATGAAGCCCAGAAAAGTCCAGTTATTTGGCCAAAGTCAACAGCCAGGAGAGACCTAGGAGCGGATTCGAACCCAGGAAGCCAGCACTTGGCAGGTCTCACCACAATGCAGTATGTTAGTGGTTTTCGCTTCGTGAGCGCGGCGAGGGAGGAAGGTTGCTGTGGTTCGGCTCGGGCGTGCTGGGCTTCTTGGCAGCGAGGCACGGCCCCTTTGGGGACGCGTTTCAGGCCCCAAACCTCTCGCTCGGCTTCTCTCCCTCTCGGGCGAGGGCACCCAGAACTCCCGAGCGCCGTGCTCCCGTCGCCGGCAGGCGGCACCGTCGCGCTCCGCAGCCAGGTCCGCTCCCCCGCGTCGCCGCGGAGCCGGGGAGGGGCGCGGGGAGCCCCAAGTCCCCCCTCCCGGCCGTGCGCGGCCCCGCAGGCTGCCCCCCGGCTCGCGCAGCACCTCCGCGGGCCCCGCCGCCGCGAGCATGCGCAGTGTCTCCCGCGGCGCGCGCCCCGCCCCCGCCCCCGCCCCCGGCGCTCGCGCACCGGCCCGCGGTTCGCCTGCGCCGCCCGGGAGCCCGCCACTTCCGGGCTGCTCCTGGGCCGCTGGGGGCGCCGCGGTCGCGCGGCGCGGCCTGGGCGGGGCGGGGCGGCCGGGCGCTCGGGAGTGCGGCCGCGGCGGCGGGAGCGCAGCACCGGCCTCTGCCCGCGCAGCCCGCCGCCGCCCCGAGCCATGGCCGGGAGCAGCTCGCTGGAGGCGGTGCGGCGGAAGATCCGGAGCCTGCAGGAGCAGGCGGATGCGGCGGAGGAGCGCGCGGGCAGCCTGCAGCGCGAGCTGGACTACGAGAGGAAGCTGAGGGAGACCGTAAGGGGCCCACGCATCCCGCCCCCGCCCCCACCCGCCGCGCCCGCCGCACCCGCCGCGCGGTGCGGGGC